TATAACGAGCCGGTACGTTAACACGATAACCCTACCTAGGGCTTGTATGCCATGCTGGTAGCACGCCGTGGACTGCATGCTGTTTCTGTTCAAGTATAGACTATGGAAGCCTAAGTCATTACCTATACTTTCTGTCAGGGTTCCTTTTTATAGATATACTACAAAGGAGCCCATGACCTTAGTCCATGAAACCCTGAGCCAGGGTTGTCCTTCCACGGCGCCTTTGCTTGAACAGAAAACGCGTGAAGAAGGTATCTCTGCCGATCAGTAAACCCTAAACCCTAAACCCTAAACCCAAAACCGTAAACCGTAATCTTCATAGGTAGACCTCCAGAAAGGACAACCCTGCCCTAAACGATCTTCGCAAGCTGTGGTGCCCATGGCGCATCCATCAGAAAACGATGCGTTGGCCTTGCAGTTTTCGAAGCCCAGGACCAGACTTAGAGACTGCATTCTCGGGTTTAGGGTTGAGCAAGGGCTTGGGGATAAGGGTCTAGGTGTTTTTGGGGAGATTAGGGCGTGGAGTTGTATGTTAGTTTGGCTACTATCTTTTTATTGCAACTGGAGTTCACTTCGGTTTAGAAGGTTCAAGAGCTTCAGGGGTTCAGTGTGTTTTTTTAAGATGTGTCGGACTTTCTCTGAATTTGGGGTTTACCTGTAGCCGGAAAGACCTACCTTTCTGAGGAACTATGTATAGAAACCAGAATAAGGAACCCTAAAAAGGTAGGTCTGTTCGGCTACAGGTAGGGTTTAGACTTTAGGGTATTTTGGGCTTTCGGGCTGGGCACTGACGGGTGACGGACACGACTTAAGATTTGGGGTTTAGGGTTTAGGGGTTTAGGGCTTTAGGGCTTTAGGGTTCTAGCGTTTAGGGTTTAGGGTTTAGGGTCCACTGATGCTAGCCGGCCGGTAACAGCATGGGGGCAACATTGAGAAGGCCGCTACATAGCAAGGTCTCTGCAGTATTTTGAGTACGGTCATCTTCTTGTCCGCTCTTCCCACTGGCATCATTTTCGATTTAGCTCTGCTTGTGGCGTTTTTCGAATGCTTCTTTCATTATAATTACTCGTGTGCGTAACTCCTGCGAATTCATACATGTCTCTCGGCTAGCAGCGGCTAGCATTGCCACACTGGCTAAGTTTGTATAGCACAGCCATGCAAGGCTGGGAATACTAACTCGTACTGCTTTTTGAAGCCCGCGAATGCCCTGATCAGACCTCCCCAAAAACCCTAAACCCTAAACCCTAAACCCTAAACCCCAAACCCTAAACCCAAATCCTAAACCCTAAGACCCAAGCCCGCCCGTCTTCTCGGCTCTTCACCCGATTCCTTCAATCCTGACAAACTCTACACTTTAGGGTTTAGGATTTAGGGTTTAGGATTTAGGGATTAGGATTTAGAGTTTAGGGTTCAGGATTTCGGGTTTTAGGATTTCAGGGAAAACGCGACAACCTTGAGACCCCATCTGCTCGGCCCGATCCCACCCACAGAACAGGAGGTTGATTTCGGGTTACGGTTGATTCACGGCCTAGGGCATGGTTAGGGTATAGGGGTTTAGGGTTTAGGGTTTAGGGTTTAGGGTTTAGGGCCTAGGGGTTTAGGGGTTTAGGGTTCGTAGACTGCACCGTCAAAGTCTGAAACCCTCCGCCCTGAACCCCTTACAGAACCCCTGTACAAACCTTGCAGGATCCTCAACGGATCCATTTCACAGACAGCGATAGTCATAAAATCGATGCCTCACAAAGGGCCCTTACCTTAACCCACATCGCGTAAGGTACAATAATATAGGAGGATAGATTATGGTAGACACCTTCACAAGGGCCCTTACCTTACCGTGCGCAACCGTAGGACACGTGTTGAAGGATTCCACTTTTGTCTTCCTGTAAGGATCTGGAAAGCTGTTCGTTCCGTGAGTTTTAGGATTTAGGGGTCGGGTTCACAACAGCCCATGACCCTAGGCCCATAGACCCTCAGACCCTAAACCGTCAGGATTGTCTGCTCTTGCTTGGATGCTCTTTGTGAACTATGGGATGACGCAGTGAAGGCCGGTATCCGTAAAGGACGAAACGTACCCTAAACTGCTGCTTGGTGCAATTACCATCTAGGGTTTAGGGTTTGTACATGGCCGCGGCATTTCCGGGGCATCTGGTCTATAAGGGTTACCGCAAACTGCCGCATTCATCATCCTAGTTGTAGAGTAGGTAACCTTTAACCTTTTTCGGGCAGTATATCCCTATGTAACCCCTATATAAACCCAAAAGGTTAACCTTTAGTTCCCCATGATACCCGACGAGCCAGTCATTTGAGAATTCCCGCAATGAATTCTCTTAATACCAAACATCCAGCTTAAAGCTGTGCGGGTAAGGCTTGTGTTGGCTCGATCCTCGAATGGAACCGGGTTTTCGGATTTAATGGAACTGTTGCGATTTGAGGTTAGGGGTTTAGGGGTTCAGAGGTTTTGACTTCTGCGTCAGGGTTTCGGACCGGTTTCAAAGTGTTTGACTTCTGGTCGCAGCGGTTGTCGAGGTTCTCGTGCCAGCTTCTTTGGCGTTTGTTAGGTTTGTTAGGGAGGTGCGGATCCTGCCTGGTCAAGGCGTCTTATACACCAGCACATGGATGGTGAGGTGGGGTTATCCGGAAAAGTGACCCCACACGCTAAACCCCTAAACCCTAAACACCTTGTTGGGGGTTCCCTACTGTTGATGATATAAATCCTGCGTTCCCTTAACGACCCCAAACTATGGGAATTTTGGTATATTCTTTAAACTATTATATGGGTAACGCAGGATTTCTATCATCAACCATATCTTCGGGTCAATTTAGACTACCATGGTAGGATCTCCTGTTTCCGGAAGCTCCCAAATCTCTTTAAGGTTCTTTGAGGCTTTTTCGAGGGAGTTCTAGCGGAGCTCTACTGCCAGGAGTCGAGGGTTTTAGGATGTCAGTTCTTATCACATGCTCTGAAGAGTTAATTGGTTGAAGGGGTTTGAATTGCCACGATGAAATTACAGGATAAAAACAAGCTGACTCGGCCCCGCAATCGAAGGCATCCCGCCCTTATATGGGTTTTAAGGTTTTCTGCAAGTAGACCGCTTGTAAAGGCCATGAGCTATGTGGTCGACACTGTCAATGCTGCGCTTCTGACCGATGCTGGGTGGATTCTCTCCACCAGCGCTATTGTGAGTGCTTTGTCTCCGTTCCTTGGAACTGTTTGGCTGAGTTTGTTAAGCTTCAAAATCTGCTTTCTCGTCATCAATTTTGATCTGAGGCATGGTAGCCACATTATCGTAATTCAGCTACAGTTCCTTGATAAGGGCCGCAGCAAATCTGTACACAACTCCTCAGCACCCTGCAAAACCTCCGATAAAGCAACAGAAAGCCCCTGCAATCAGTTCCTTCACAAGAACCAGGCAACTCAGACCCTAAACCCCAAACGTTGTTGTTCTCCCTCTGAGAAGCATCTTTATAGCACCTTGCAGAGGCTCTTCACGATCAGCACGTGGGCACGGGAGGGTTTTTACGTTTTGTCAAGTGTTTCTGGATTAGTAGCTGAGTAGGTTAACGGTTAACCTGGCTTTTGTCTACAGAGTGCCTCGCTATTTAGGGCTTAACTCGGGATCTTGAGGAGCTTCGACTAGTAAATTATTCTGTCACAGTCTCTGTTTGATAATGGGCGCCAGAACCGCACACGATTGGTCAAGGCACCGTCCAATATAGAGCCTTCTAAAGCTCTTGTTAGACCCAGATATGCGCCCTAATTCAAGGAGCAAGCGCCAATATAGTCGTCAGTGCTAAACCTCTAAACCCCTAAACCCAGAACACCATGTGAGGCTTGCATGCCCGAACAGCCACGGCGTCCTGTTGGGTTCTGTTGCTTTGAGCTGCTTGGCCAAATCCTGAAGGGTAAGAACACGTAGAGGGCCCAATGTTACCTAAGTGAAGAATCAGGACCTTAGGGTTTAGGGTTTAGGGTTTGTACCATCGTAGGGTCTAGTAGAGGGTAGATGGAGGGCTTAGGAATATAGCTTACGCCAAAGGATTAAGGGATATTGGGCTCGCTGGGTGTAGTCGCAAACATTTGGTGCTCAGGGCATAGTAGGGTTCGGGTTTAGGGTTTAGGGTGCCGGGTTCAGAGTGTAGGGTTTATGGGTGGCTTGCAATCCCTACTAAGCCTAAGCCTACTAAACCCTAGACCTACTACCTACTACACCCAAACCTTGTGCCTGTTAAACCCTGAGCCCGAAACCTACTACTACTACTACTACTACCACCACCACGACTACTACTACTACTACTACTACTACTACTACTAAACCTTAAACCCTAAACCCTAAACCCCAAACGACTTGCTCATGAGCATGACGGACTCCGAACCCTGAACTCGACATTGTAGGCTTCAGGGGTTTAGGGCTTAGGGTTCAGGGTTTAGGGTTTTAGTTTAGTGAATTTCGGAGGCCTAAAACCGTAAGCCTAAACCCATCAAAGCAAGCATTTGGCAGTGGGTTCTCCGCAGCAGTGCCCTGTTTTCTGCTCCTTGCTGTTTGTTGCCTATGTATTTGGCTGCAATAGTAGGAGACAGGAGACTTACGTCTACAGCAATATAGGAGCCTTCTAATAATTACCTATACTATTTCGGAGCCCTAAACCCTAAACCCTAAACCCTAAACCCTAAACCAAGAATAGTATAGTATACCGCAAAACTCTATTCTAATGATTAAGGCCCTGACATTATGGGTTCGGTGGCAACACCTAGGTCTCCCACCACTAGAACCTTTCCAACTCCCAGAGGGTCCGAGTACCCAAATAGTAAGGCTTTAGGTCCCAAAATCCATACTCTGAATGGTCTTTGGACCTTGAAACCCTACTATTTGGGTACTTGGACCCTTAGGGACTGCTTTCGAGACCCCTATATAGGAGCCCTTACTATAGAGCGCCGAAAACCCGAAGCCCTAAACCAACCTACTAGACCCTAAACCCTAAACCTATCAAGCCCTAAACCCTAAACCTACTAAGCCCGAAACCCTAAACCCGACACCAACCTAAAACCCCAACACCCTCGACTTCTAGCACCCTTAAGACCCCTCAGAGTAAGCCTCCCAACGACCCTAAAGCCCCAAACCCACCAAACCCTCCATTTTTGTGAGCTTTGTATCCTGAACCCTAGTAAAGGAGTATGAAACTTATAGGGACCCTACTAAAGAGTAGGTCTTCGTGGGTTAAGGGGTTTAGGGCTTAGGCTCTGAATCCCGATTCCCCTCACGCACAGGTTTTCAGTTTTCGACTTCGCTGGCGTGCTCCGTCCGAAGCTACGGGTTTAGGGTTTAGGGTTGGGATCCCAACCATAATTCCCTGAATCAGTTGCAAAATCATGCGATATTCAGATAGCAGAACCCGCACGCAAAAACATGCGCCCAATATAACCATATCCTACTTATGGTAAAACCCAAAGCCCTAAACCCCCAAACCTTAGTCGAGTTGATGCCCTGGCCCTGAGAAACTTTGGGTTCTGAGTTCGGTTTTACAAGGATTTACAGCATTGTATAAGAGTTGGGTGGATTTAAAAAGGCCTGTGGGGCCCCGCACAGAAGAAAAATGCGATAAGTCAATTTTTTCAGAAACACACTTAAAATTCAGTTTTATATTATTGTCAAATGTGCTTTAACAATTGTCTTGAAACTTTTGAAAGATTTCGAAACTATCCAAATATACTTTTAGATAGGTCCTTTCAGATACCTTCAGTGAATTCAGGTATACTTCTAACAAATATTCATTGTGTGTATACATATACTAGATGCGTATAATACAGCTCAAGTTGTGCTTGGCCCTGCGGTTTAAAATATTTCTCTTATATAAATTATACTACATATATATATATATATATATGAACCAGACCACAGGCCTTGTAAAACCGCCCAATTTCAGAGCTTTATATCGGGCTTAGGGTGTAGTGTTAGAGGTCTTCTTGGGAGCCTGGGTTCAGGCTTGGGGCTGACCCTAGAAGCCTCACCCGACACCCTAAACAATGAACCCCCGAACCCTAAACCCTGAACCCTGAACTGCTGAACCCCTGAACCCTAAACCCTGAACCCTGAACTGCTGAACCCTGAACTGCTGAACCCCTGAACTCTAAACCCTAAACCCTGCACCCTACACCCTGAACCCCTAAACCCTGAACCCTGAACCCTAAACCCTAAACCCTGAACCCTGAACAGAAAAGTAGTCGGCTTCTCTGGGTGCAGCTATGCTTTCCCAAGTCGCAAGCAGCCAGGGTCCTTCCATGATCCGAAAAGCTGGATCCCCTGCAAAAATCGGTGCCCAGGGCTCAAAGGTTCAGGGTTTAGGGTTATTTATAGGTAAGAGGTAAGAGAGGGTTTAGGGTGTAGGGTTCAGGGTTTAGGGTTCGGGGTTTAGGCTTATATATAGGTAAGAGGTAAGAGAGGGTTTAGGGTNNGTTCAGGATTTAGGGTTTAGGGCGTAATAGGCTTCGATTAGGGTTCCGCTTATTTTTGATTGCGTAGGGTCCACAAAGAACTGATTTAATTTGGCTTGCTGCGAGGAGTAAAGCGCGGTATCCGGACTCATATGTAACGGCAGGGTGTTCCATTGTTTTTTGTTTATATCCCTTGTGGGTTTAGGTATAACCCTAACTCTAAACCGTCGGGTAAGGTTTTCGGGGTTCTTCTGCAAGACTCTCATGCACGGAGGTACGAACACAGTACATCTTGGGTGGTTCGTGAGATTCAGGCAAGCAAGATGCCTGAAGCCTAACCTCCAAACCCTAAGCCCAGAGAAGGTCAGACCATTAACCCTAAACCCTAAANNAACCCTAAACCCTGAACCCGATTAAACCCTAACCCTAAACCGCGAACCCCGCCTCAGGTGCTTCGCTGCCGGGATTACCTGCATCAGCTGTGTGGTTATTGGCTCGGAGGCCAATTCCTACACGAGGGCTGCTCGACAGCACCCAGCTGAGGGTATGAGATACTGTCGCTAAACCCTAAACCCTCCACCCTA